GCAGTCCATGGGGTTGCTAAGAGTCAGACACGACTGAGCTACTTCACTTTCACTTTTCACTTTCATGCATTAGAGAAGGAAATGGCAACCCACTCCAGTGTTCTTGCCTGGAGAATCCCAGGGATGGGATCACACAGAGTCGGACATGACTGAAGTGACTTAGCAGCAGCAGCAGCAGCAGCAGCAAGGCACAGATTTGGTCTCTTTTTTGTCCCAAACACCCCAGACAGTGCCTGGAACACACCTACCTCTTATAGCTGTTGGGTGAATAAATGGATGAGTGGGTCAAGCTTGACTGTATAAAAAAGAGAAGAAATCTTTTCCTTAATATTAGCATTTTGTAAAACTCTGAGTCTGGTTATACTGATTTTTTCTTCCATGTGAAGGTGATGCTGTTTTTAAAAATCTATATGGTCTATATGTGTATAAAGCACGGAAAAAATTAACTAGAGAGAAATCGGCTCTATAAGGGCCAATCTCTATTCCCCATCTTTACTGTAAATCTCTGTATCACAATGACTTTATCACAAATGTATGGAGCATGGCACATGTGCATGTGCACGTACATGTGAGTCTTTAACAAACTTTGCATTAAGAAGCTGTTGGAAGAACGCTCCGCATTTTCCCTGTGGGTTATTTTTGTGATAAAATGTCCGGCTCTGGTTGCCGCACTAGATTTCACAGGCTTCAAAAAACTGAACTCAAGGACTCCATATTTGAAGTCTGCACACATTCTAAAACCCCTCTTGAAAAGTCGATAATATTGGAACAATAGCTGATGTTTGGAAGAGAAGAGCATTCTTTACTCTGCAGCATTTTCTGCTAAAACCTCAGCTGTCAACACTGGCTGAGACCCCACCTATCAGATGCCCTGGCCGCCTGACTCCCCTCGCCCACCAGCCACTTAAAATACTTTGTTTCCTTTTAATCAGAATAAGCTACGATTATCTCCCTTCAGAGCCAGGCCGCTGTTCTATCACGTTGACAGGCTGGGGAGGGCTGCTGCGTTTTCACACGCAACGCGGGACAGACACAGGTAGACGCCCCGGAGACAGACAGAGCCTCACACAGACAATGGGGGAATATTTCGTAGCTTCAGGGAGCGGAGTGTGCTCCAAGAGAACACAAAGGAGCGGAGCCTTTTTGCCCAGGAGCCCGCGTCTCTGGCTGTTTGTCTTCGAGGAGGTAAGGGAGGCAGGCAAGCCAGAATTTGGCTTCCCCAGCTTCGCTCTAAGTTGCTGGGGATTTAAACAGCAGCTCACTCGCTCCGAGGAGCACAGGTAGCTATCAGTCTGGAGACAGATGGCAGCAGGCAGGTTCCTTACATGCGGCTCTCCATCACTGGAGACCCAAAGGGTGAAGAAGTGGTTTCCGTGCAGTCAACAAAAAGCAAAAGGACAATGCTGCCTTCCAGTCCGCTACGAGAACACTGCTCTCAAGTTATTTTCTGAAGAAGCAACGCTCTATTACCTGCACAATCTGATTATCTGAGAAGAGAAGAATGGTGGCTCTTGGCCTTGTACTGGTGTCTGCAGGAGACAGTGAAGGAGGAGACAGGGCCGTGGTTCCCCCCACCCCAAGTCCAGCCCCAAGGACCAAAACAGACGCCTCCCAGACCAGCTCCCAGAATGGCCCACCGGGTCTCAGGGTGGCCCACAGCTGTGATGACGGAGGTTGGCACCACTTCCTCCAAGAAGGCTTTCTCTCTGTTAAATGGAGTGGTTCCTCATCCATAAATTGCCCAAAATCTGTTTATTTGGGGGAGATATAGGAGCCAGAATAGGACTTCCCAGGTGGCGCAGTAGTGGAGAATCCACCTGCCAATGCAGGAGACGCAGGAGGGGTGGGTTCAGTCCCTGGCTCAGGAAGACCCCCTGGAGAAGGGAATGGCAGCCCACTCCAGTATTCTTGCCTGGGCAGAGGAGCCCGGCAGGTTACACTCCATGGGGGTCACAAAGGGTCATGCATGACCGAGTGACTGCGTACAAGCATACTAGTGAAGAAGACCGGGATTTCTAGAACAAAGCGTCACCTGCCTGCTATGCAGCCTTCCTCAGCATGTATGTACATAAGTTGCCCTGACTTTCCTAACCAGCCAGCCAGCCCCACAGCCTTGCCCACTCCCTCCCTACAGGCCTCTCGTGATATCCCAGTAGCAGAAGCAAGAGCAAGTACTAAATGAAATCCTCTGCTAATTCACTAGCACAACCAGCATCAATACTTATTCGACACAAACTAGGAAAATCAAGTTCTCACCTAATTAGGAAAGCCACTAACTGTGGAATACACTATCGCGATAAATTTCTAGCTGAAACGACTAAGATTAATGGAGTGATAGCTTTTTGTGGTTTTTTATTGTCGCAACTAATACCTTCAAGCATAACATTATGTTCCCCAAGGCTTTGTCTTGGCAGCTAACCTGTTAGTACAAAGCCTTGACGATAATTTCCCATTGAAATGGGTGTTTTTCAAGATTTCTGTCACATCATTGATAACTTCTTTCAAAGACCACACATCTCTACTTCAAATAAGCCACTCAGTCACGTAACCAGCATCCTATTGCCCTTATTTCTAAACAATCTTTGCCAGCTCAGCAGAGGTAGGAGTAACTGCTTACACTCCTGTCTTTGCTGACAAAATACTTTATTTGCTTTTGCTGTTGTTCAGTCCCAGTCATATCCAAGTCTTTGCAACCCCATGGACTGCAGCACGCCAGGCTTCGCTATGGATCGCAGCCTTGTCATGGCGAAGGGGCTTGTGTAACTCAATGAAGCTATGAGCCATGCCATGCAGGGCCACCCAAGACGGACAGGTCATGGTGGAGAGTTCTGACAAAACATGGTCAGAGGAGGGCATGGCAACCCACTTCAGTATTCTTGCCTGGAGAATCCCATGGACAGAGGAGCCCGGTGGGCTACAGTCCATGGGGCTGCAAAGAGTCAGACACGACTGAGCAACTAACAAACTTCATACATGTTGCTAATTATCTTTCCATGACTGCACAAGTAGGGCATATAAGAAAATGTATCTGTGTCTTTAAAATTATTTCATAGAAATGCATGTAGATAAGTGTATGCATAAAGGCACATGCTTTTTTGTACATTATCTAACAGAGTGATTATCTCTAACCTTTGATGCAGCCATCCTAAACAAGAGATTCTACACTGTTACATCAAGACACTGATTTCACATGCAAAGGTCAAATTGGTTATTTCACCTAAACTTATAAACACTAAAGATAATTGAACAGTTAACTGATCCGTTCTGCCAGGCTATCCCCGGACTGCATAGCGTAGGATGTGGCTCAGGGCACCTGGAAGGCATCTACTCTTCCTATGTTCCAACCTGGAGCCATCAGGATTCTCTCAGGGTGGCGAGAGGCAAGGGTCTACCAGGCGTCACTGACGGCAGACAATGAGAATGGCAGATCTCAGCAAAGGCAAGTTCCAAGACCCTTTCAAGTCTGCTTTGGTGTTAAGCCACCATCAGTAGTCAGTGGGCACTTCTTACATATGTAGCCCTTGACCAGGTCATCAGATTTTTGAACTCAGAAAAGTTGGCCCAGTCTTTATATCATGAAGCAAACTAGTCACGTCCGACTCATTGCAACCCTATGAACTGTAGCCCACCAAGTTCCTTTGTCCATGGGATTCTCCAGGCATGAATACTGGAGCAGGTAGCCATTCCCTTCCCAAGGGGATCTTTCTGACCCAGGGATCAGACCCAGGTCTCCTGCATTGCAGATTTTTTACCATCTGAGCCATCAGGGAAGCCCCAATCAGTCGACCTACAAACATCAATTAGAAAATGATAAAAAAAAAATATCTTGAACTCACAGTGTTCAGGAGGATCACTGGTGGCCCATCCAATAAGTGGAGCAAAAACCAGGAAAAAGAGACAGAAGTCAAAAACTAATAATGATAAAAACAAGCAGAACTGAAATAAACAAGCTGAGGCCCATGTGTGACTTCCTCCTGCTTAATCCAGACTATCTATCTCAAAAGCCTATTGGGAGCCTTTGATTTTCTTAGCCTGCTTTCCATATTCTAGTTCCTGAGTTTTTATAAATGTTACATAAAGTATTTAGTCTCACATGAAAAAAGTGCCACTAAGATACGCTTTTAGTTTTGTCAAATGTTGGTTTGGCTTCTATTTGGCTTGACATTTTGGGAAAGAATCTGAATGAGATCATTTTAAAAACAACATTGGTTGAAATCTAAGTTTGACTCAATTAGATGTTTGTTCCTGAATGTGAGTGATCTTTGAGTTCATTTTCCTGGATCATCCTCACCTGGTCGGGGGCTGTGGCAGGGGGCAAGGGAGTGACGGTTAGAGAGAAAAAGGTGACAACCCTGAAAACCAAACTGTACTTATTTCAAGGACAGTAAAGTCAGAGTTCTTCCCATTGTCTAGAAATTATTTCAGTGTTTTAAAAAAAAAATTACTGGAAGTACAGAAAGCTCATCTTTATAAAAATTATTATACCTTTAGTTTGCTTCCTGCAGAAAGGTCAGAGGGCCTACATCCAATTAATGGTGAGAATCTACTTCAGTCCAGGACATAATTCAGTGGTGACTACACTTACTATTCTGACCATCTCTGAGACAAAAGCCTCAGCCGTGTATGTCATCCAGGCCCATTCATAAAGGAGACTCGTTACTCGAACTAAATGCCCATATGTGAAACAAACAAACAGAAATTCTACAGTTTCTCCTACAGTGAAATTTTGTTATGACAAGTAAGCTGCAGTTGTCTGGTCGATAAGCTAACAGACCAAACACAGTAGCCCTAAATTCCTACTATCAATGAGTCATTAAAATCACACACTTCATACCTGGAGGACGACAAGAAGGACATCATGCAAATGCCTCCCTTTCTCTGTGTTCCGAGGGCAGCTTTGTGTGTGTCTTTGTTGCTTGAAGCTTAGGAGTTGAAGTGGGTTTTCCTGCCTGGAATGGTTGGGATTCTTGCAGTAGCGAGAGGTGGGGCAGAGCTGGGAGTCACCGATGCTCCGACAGAAGAACCACGGGACTCAGCAACCACCGGCCGCTCTCCCGCCCCGTCCAGCGCACAGAGGAAGCAGAGAGGAAGGGCTCGCTCTCAGAGGTGAGTCCTCTGATGGGGACGAAGCAGGCCGGCCGGCCTTCATCCCAGACAGACCACTCACGAAGCAGAGGGACAGGCCAATGCAGAAACCCATTCCCCAGGGATGGAGCGACACCTGAAATGCAGATCCCAGGGCACCACTGCACGGGCAGACCCCGCAGGAGCGCACGTAACCCCGTCTCCATCCGCCCTGACCACGGCCCAGCACCACGGGCACCCCGTGGGAGCCGGAACATCGGCACGCACTGAGCGGGAGAGGCCGTGATGACGAGGCGCCTAGGGTCCTCGGGCAGCCCCCCAGCTTGGGGAGGCCTCTGACGAGCACCGCCCGCATGACCCAGAGCAAAATCCCTCTCATAAACTGGGGACTCTCGGCAAATGAACTGGGAGGTGAAAGACGCCCCCCGGCATGCCCAGGGCCCAGCCCTGAGTCCCGGAGGTCCTGCCCGCGGCCCGGCAGCACTTAGCGCCCGCATCGCAGCTCTGTCCTGCTCTCGGCTCTGCAAAGGGAGGGCAAGCGTCTGCGAGACGCATGTCCTCACGGACTCTGTCCTCTGTGGTTTGGGGCGGAACTGGAGGCAAACAAGCCTCCAGCACCCCACCTCCAGGATCAAAGTCCAGAATCTTGGGGCTTCCCTGGCGCTTCAGTGGCTAAGACCTCGTGCTGCCAATGCAGGGGGCGTGGGTTCAATTCCTGGTCGGGGCACTAAGATCCCTCATGCCACGCGGGGCACGGCCTACGTAACGTCCAGGCTCTTTATCATTCTGGGGCCACAGGGCCACACCCAGGAAGGCAGGCCGAGATGTGCATCTCACAGATTCGTTAAAAGACCGGGATGAGGAAAGGGCACGCATAGGAACCACTGAAACGTGTGGCCCCAGGCTCGCTCTCTCTTTCCTGCAAAGTTGAGAAAACACAGCCCAGCACACCATAAACACCGCTCGGCCGGCTTCCTCCTCCAGCGCGGGGCCGCCTCTGCCTTCTCGACTCCTTCGCCTCCACACCTTGTGGAGACAAGGCCAGCCCTCCCTGGCCATCACTCTTCACCCCAGGAGCCGGGCCGGGCTGGCTCTCAGTGTCGGAAGCTTTACAAACCAACACCCGTGTCCTCAAAGCCGGGGAGCAGAAAAGACGCTGAGACCTGACGTGGGATTCCCAGGGCAGGAGCCGTTCTCACCTGACAGGTGGGAGCGGAGTGCAGGCCTGGGCCGCTGGCGTTGGCCTTTCATCCCAGGACCTGGTCTGTGACCTGCTTATGAATGAAGGGGTCTAGGAGCGATTAAGCTCCTACCATATGTGCCCAGAGCCACTCAACGGCCTCACGGAGCCCAGCTCTACAGATGAAGGCAGGGTACCGCGCCAGCAGGCAGCATGCGCGACCAGATCCTTTAGGGTTGGGGGGTGCCGCCATCAATACTCGCTGAACGGCTGAGTCAGTAGATGTCCGGGACTCTAACAAGGGACTTATTTCCCTTCCCACACTGTGAAAAATGCAGGCCTTAATTCCACTGTAATCGGGAGAAGAGGCACCAGAAATCAATGCTTCCAGGTTTTGCCATGTTACAGACACGGTGTCCATATGAACATTCATTCACAAACGAGCTCCTTTACATAATACTCCCATCAAGGAAACCCATCAGCATTTGAGTCCACCATCGGATTTAACTGCAGGGGCCATCTGCAATTTTAAAGCTTAGTACGGGTGACCCCACTAGTAACTAACTTCGGGGTGCGGGGTGGGTGCAAGGCATCGTCCAAACACCTGTGTCCAAGGGTGGCCAGAGGTGAGGTGGGCAGAAACAGAATCAGAAGAGCTCCACCCACGTACGAGTGGCCCACACTGGTCTCCGGGCTGTGGACCCCAGGGAAGAGGGCAGCCACGGAGGCTCCCTGCCCTCTGTCCCCAAAGACCCTCATGCTCTGGGTGTCCTCGGACCGTCCACGCCCCAGGGATGGGCTCCCTTCTCCTGCCACTGGCCGCTGCACCCCACTGCCTGGGGCGTCCCTGGACCTTCCACGCCCCACGAATGGACTCCTCTCTTCCCGCCGCTGGCCACTGTGCCCCACTGCCGGGCGCAGAGCAGGTGCTCACGCAGGAGCTGATGGAGGGAGGGAGGCGCCCACCGGTCCTCACGCCCCCAACCCCATCCTCAGCACACCGCAGGGTCGTCTTTCTAAAGCGCGCATCTGATTTCAGAACTGAGGGGTGAGAAACATTCCTCTCTGAGACAGAAAAGGTACTTCTTAATCTCAAAATATATGTTCAGCAAGAGGAATATTTTTATAAAAATAAAGGATAACCTGAAAGAACATACACTAGAAGCTGTAATTTCAACAATGGAATTTACCCTATCGTTTGAAGCATCAGCAGTACATATTATATCTGCATTAGTGACAATGATAAATAGTGTTTTAGGATTTAAATGCATCAATTATAGTGTTCCTGGATATTCAGATGTCTTTTCCTGTTCCATTTTTTACACAGTTCCTCTCTGAATTCAAATGAAGGCTCCGAAAACATTTTTTCATTCATTGTAAATTCACGGGGGCCATTCTTAGTTATAGTATTCTTGCGAAAACAAGGAAAACCAAATATGCCTTGAGCAAAATGTCTTTATCACAGTAAATGACATGGTTTTATTCTGTACCCAGATAAAAAGAACACCAGTGAGATTAGGGTGAAAGTAAGTGTCAGTCTTGAATGAACAAATCTTCCAAACTGGCTGGTCACCCAGAGCTATGTTCCACCAGCAATTCAATTCTTTGCTTCAAACATTCTTCTTCCTTTGCACCCATTCCTCTAGTGAAGTAAGCCACTAACCTGTAGTGTAAGTTACTCTTAGTAACTCACTTTCCTGAAGGTAGAAGGGAAGAAGAGAACAGAAAACAGAAAGGCCATGGGGCAAAGCCATGGACATTCTACTCCAGACACCCTGTCTGTTACAGCTGGCCCCCTCCCCACCACCCACCCTGAAAATCAAGGTTTGGTTGGAGTCTTTCTACTACAACAACAGATGAGAACGGAGACCAGAAAAGAAACACTAAATACAGTTTTTTACTCTTTGATCCACTATTTGAAACACTGAACAAAATCTATTGAAACTAGTGTACTAGCAGCTATGATTCCCAAATTTATTTTTCAAATGAAATCGTGTTTTAAGGACCTGCACCATGGCGCCATCTGGTGCTGACACAGAGAAAGATGCTTCAATCAGACAAGCAGGACGCAATCCCTTTGTTAGCCTGAACAGTGAAAATTTTAAAACACACGACAGTTGTCTTTCATCACATTAAATCCTAAAGTACTACTAAAAACAAATACAGTCTGAAAATAAACTCTGAAACTATTCTGCCTACAATGATCTTATTTTGAGCAGGTATACCTTAAGATCAGTTAACATCAACACTGAGTTCTTGCAACATGCTAACTTTTGCTTGCTGGAGAAGACTCTTGAGAGTCCCTTGGATTGCAAGGAGATCAAACCAGTCAATCCTAAAGGAAATCAACCCTGAATATTCATTGGAAAGATTGATGCTGAAGCTGAAGCTCCAATACTTCAGCCACTTGATGCCAAGAGCTGACTCACTGGAAAAGACCCTGATGCTGGGAAAGATTGAAGGCAGGAGGAGAAGGGGACGACAGAGGAGGAGATGGATGGCATTACCGGCTCGATGGACACGAATGAACAAACTTCAAGAGAAAATGAAGGACAGGGAAGCCTGGCGTGCTACAGTCCATGGGGTTGCAAAGAGTAGGACATGTTTGAATGACTGAAAAACAACAGGTCTCTCCACATTCATCTATTTTTAAGTAATAAAAGCACTTCCAGGTGGGGTTGCTGGTGAGGTGCTTTGTCATGAAACAGAGCGCAAATTGGCACTTTCTCAATCAGACTCCGCTGTGGAGGGGGACAGGGTACTCCTCCCCCTCCTAGGAGGTAAATTTAAAGTCATGGCTCTACAATGGACTTGGAGGGTCAGATTGATTGGCAAAGAAAATGGCAAAGACCTCCGAGTCGAGCTGACTTCTGTTTCTCAGAGTGGACGCGTCTTTCCCCGGAAATGCTCGTGACCACAGAGCGGTCCCCTGACGCTGCAGGCTCCGCCATCCTGGCTCTGGCGCCCTGGGAGACAGACAGCACTGAGGCCACCCCGAGAGCCGCTCACAGCGATGGGTCAATGCACAGGGCGCTGCGGTCCAACAACGGCATCAGAGATGGGGACGGAGCAAGCAAAGGAGCCCCCCGTGCCTCCCCCAACAGGTGGGGCAACTCCGCACCATGGTCAGCGGGAGACAGGGCAACCAGGACGCCCAGCAGGTGCACCCCCTCCCACCCGCAGCCTTCCCAGCTCCGCCGTCTCCTGGGACCCCCTTAGGGGAAACTCAGACCCTACTCCTCAGGGTGCGAGCTGGCCGGCCCTCCTGTGCACATCCATGCATCTTTCGGGGATGCCTGCCTGCTTATTCCACGGGGCTGTGGGCAGCCTCACCCGGGCTGAGAGGGCCCTTCCCCCTGGGGGGCAGCCCTGCCTGCAGCCCCTCCCCCACCCGACCGCAGGGCTGCCCCGCTGCTGGGTCTCTACCTGGGCAAAGGCAGGGTTAGGGCTCTGCAAACAGTGACCGACAGGGGAAGAGAGAGACAAGGAGGCAGTGACCACGAGGAGAGATGGGGACCAGGAGCAGGACCAGGAGGGCACAGGGCAGGCAGGGGGTGCCCACCCTCAGGATGCCCACCCCGACCACAGGCGCGGCCCTGCCATCCACCGGCAGCCCCGCTCCCCTCGAGACGGGAGAGTCCCAGCCCCCGTCTCCTTCCTCTCCACGGCGGCCTGGCCCACTGCCCTCCGCGCATTGCCCTGATTTGCTGGATGAGCTGGACAAAGAGGAGGGGACAGGCTTGAACCCCAGGCCCATCTGGCCACGGGGAAACCCAGGCCAAGTCTGCTCCCCTGGTGGCCTCTGCCTCCTCCGAAGCTCACCACCTCCCGCGAGGGAGCCGTGGGCGATGCGGGGCTCTCCCTAAAGGCCATTTCCCCCTTCGCCTCCCCTCTCCCGACCTGCAGAGCAGCGAGCCAGCAGGAATCAGCGCAGATGAGAAGAGGGGTCACCGTGGAGGCACCGTTACAGGATCGCCACCTGACCCCGCCACGGGGCGGCCTCGCCTTTGACTCTGATGATGCCCCTGGGGCTTCCCTACCCCTCTGACGCTTCATCCAGTGGCGGCCGGTGGGCATGCTGCCTCTCCGAGGTTCTGAGGCACGGACAGGGCACCAGAGGTCCCCAGCCCCAGAATCCCACCCCGTGGCCTGAGCAGCTTGCCCACCGTTTTTTTTTAAACTTTTAAAACTTTATTCCAAGTTATCCACCTCACTGTTAATAAGGTGTACAGTTAATGCTCTGTGCCAGTATTACTAGGCCTTCCCACTGCCGGCAATGGAGAAAATCCATTTCCTGACACCCCAAAAGTTAAACTACTCTTTTCAAAACATGCCAAACTGCTAATCCTTGGAAAAGTATTACAAGCATCATTTCCCCCATCCATCTTTAAATCTGAACTCACGTTATTAATCTACATTGGCGGATGTTAAAATGAAGTCATTTTAACAACTCATGACTGTGCAAATCAAATCATCACTAGTTAATACTACAGTATTTTACAAATACTACATTACATATTACCTTGCAATCTGAAACATTACATTTCATATTTGTGTAAGTTTATTTCAGATAACTGAAGCTTCACAGAAGTCAACAGCAAATAAAGTCTAAAGAGTTGAGTTCTGTACATTAGCTCTATCTCTATTCTCTGAGGCTCATGTCATAGTTCAGCAGCAGATGCCTGCTCTGTGAAATGTAATTCACTCTCCGTTTTGAGGAACAACCAAATCCACAGACAGACGGGTGGTCAGTGACTGCATTTAATCTTACATAATAAGTAAATCAGGAAATTGATCTTTTGATCCCATTTTATCCCACTCAAAACTCTGACTAAAGTTATTTTCTGTGAAGCAAGAGTCAAGATGACTGCAGGAACTTTCTCTGAGAACGGAAATGAAAACAAAAGAGAGGATGAGAATGCCTCATATTTGGCCACCACCCTTTCAATGATGAATTCGTAGGTTTCAGAATGTGGACAAAGACTTTAAGGCCTACTCAGATCTTGGTGGCTTGTCCTCAGATCCCTCCAGGCCAGCACTCAGGCTAGCAGCCCGCGGTCCTCTCAACTGGGAGCCTGACCACAGCCCAGCCTTGGATGCAGGTGACTGTAGGCAGAAGGGAGAAACTGGGACCCTTATGCGCTGCTGGGGAGATGTAGATGATGCAGCTGCTTTGGGTCCTCAAATCTGACAGGTCCTCAAAAACTTAAACAAAGACTTACCGTGCGACTCACCAGTCCCACTTCTAGGTATGTACCCAAAGCAGAGAAAGCAGAAGCTCAAACCAATGTTCATGCACGTGTGCTCATAGCAGCGTTATTCACAGCAGCTCAGAGTCTGGGGAACAACCCCAACTGTCCATCAACAACTGACATTATACAGATCTGGTCTAGCCACACAGTGCAACACTATTTGGCCATAAAAAAGGGCTGGGGGACTCATGCCAAAGTGTTGCAGGGGGAGGATCTTCAAAACATTCTCCAGGTGAAAGAAGCCATCCACAAAGCCACACAGAGTATGAATCCATTCACGTGAAGTGTCCAGAACAGGTCATGTCTAGAGACAGAAGGCAGACCAGGGGTTTCCAGGGTCTGGGAGGAGAGATGGTGAGGGAGTAGGTGCCTGTGGTGGGGGGTTTCCTCTGGGGATGAGGAAATTATTTTGGAACTAGACAGAGGTGATGGCTGCAGGATATACTAAATGTCCCTGAATTATTCCCTTTGAAACAATCAATGTTACATCATGTGAATACATAAAAAAGGAAAAAACAGATTAGGTTGAAATTGATTAGGGCTAAACATAACACTTTTCCTTACCACTTCTGCTTGGGTATTCAGTAATTTCATCAACTCAGGCTGCCCAGAAACTGACGGGGTCCTTAAGGCCTCCTCCAGAGCCATCAGCAGGGGAGGCAGCCCTCCTGCTACACGGCATGAGTGCCGTCAGCCCTCAGTTCTGAACAGGCGTGTGAGAACCAAATCATCGCACACGCTAGTTATGACACAAGTCACACACCCGGTGCAGACACAGCCTGGGTTCCAGGCCCAAAACCTCCGCGGCCTGGTCATTCCCGGGAACTGGGACAGGGGTCCAGACCGCCCTTAGGTGACGGTCGCTTCAAATGTGGCTCAGAGCCAGGCCTGCAGAAGCTGAGGTCTCTCTCCTCTGCGGGAGACCCCTGGGGCCGGGGGATCCCCTGGGGATGGGTGGGGCCCTGGTCCAGTAGGGGACTCCTGTGGGCGGGGGGTGCCCCCGGGGACCAGCAGGGCCTTGGTCGGGCTGCGTTGCCCTGGAGCCACGGGACGGAGGTCCTGCGCGGCCCACTTCTGCCGCTGGCACCAACAGAGTCCGGTGCACGCTGAGCTGCGGGGCAGGAAGTCCGCGCCCCCTTCCTCCGGACAGTAACTGGGTCTCTCCACACGAGCAGGCCGTGTCTCCGGAAGGCGCGTCCGCGTGTGTCAGCCCATCCACGCTGGACTGGGTTCTGACTGACGTCAGCCACACCTCCCTGCGGCTCTGGACAAGCACACGTTCACCCCTGGCCTGCGTCCTTCCCGGCCGGGGGCCGTGTGAGCGCCGAGCCTGACGGCGGTCAGCAAAGGGTCAGCACACTCATACGGACACAAAACCCTCCAGTCGACCCTCCCCGAGCAGGAACAGGGCCCAGAGAACAGGGCACTCCTCACGATGCCCACAGACAGAGCACTCCTCAGGCCCACAGAGAGGGCGCTCCTCAGCATGCCCACAGACAGGGCGCTCCTCACCACACCCACAGACACGGCGCTCCTCAGCACGCCCACAGACAGGGCGCTCCTCAGCACACCCACAGACAGGGCGCTCCTCACGACGCCCACAGACAGGGCGCTCCTCAGCATGCCCACAGACAGGGTGCTCCTCAGCATGCCCACAGACAGGGCGCTCCTCAGCACACCCACAGACAGGGCGCTCCTCACGATGCCCACAGACAGGGCGCTCCTCAGCACGCCCACAGACAGGGCGCTCCTCAGCACGCCCACAGACAGGGCGCTCCTCACGACACCCACAGACACGGCGCTCCTCAGCACGCCCACAGACAGGGCGCTCCTCAGCACGCCCACAGACAGGGCGCTCCTCACGACGCCCACAGACAGGGCGCTCCTCAGCACACCCACAGACAGAGCACTCCTCAGGCCCACAGAGAGGGCGCTCCTCAGCATGCCCACAGACAGGGCGCTCCTCACCACACCCACAGACACGGCGCTCCTCAGCACGCCCACAGACAGGGCGCTCCTCAGCACACCCACAGACAGGGCGCTCCTCACGACGCCCACAGACAGGGCGCTCCTCAGCATGCCCACAGACAGGGTGCTCCTCAGCATGCCCACAGACAGGGCGCTCCTCAGCACACCCACAGACAGGGCGCTCCTCACGATGCCCACAGACAGGGCGCTCCTCAGCACGCCCACAGACAGGGCGCTCCTCAGCACGCCCACAGACAGGGCGCTCCTCACGACACCCACAGACACGGCGCTCCTCAGCACGCCCACAGACAGGGCGCTCCTCAGCACGCCCACAGACAGGGCGCTCCTCACGACGCCCACAGACAGGGCGCTCCTCAGCACACCCACAGACAGGGCGCTCCTCAGCACGCCCACAGACAGGGCGCTCCTCAGCACGCCCACAGACAGGGCGCTCCTCAGCACGCCCACAGACAGGGCGCTCCTCACGACACCCACAGACAGGGCACTCCTCAGGCCCACAGACAGGGCGCTCCTCAGGCCCACAGACAGGGCACTCCTCATGACGCCCACAGACAGGGCACTCCTCAGGCCCACAGACAGGGCGCTCTTCAGCACGCCCACAGACAGGGGGCTCCTCAGCACGCCCACAGACAGGGTGCTCCTCAGCATGCCCACAGACAGGGCGCTCCTCACGACACCCACAGAAACGGCGCTCCTCAGCACGCCCACAGACAGGGCACTCCTCAGCACGCCCACAGACAGGGCGCTCCTCACGACACCCACAGACAGGGCACTCCTCAGGCCCACAGACAGGGCGCTCCTCAGGCCCACAGACAGGGCACTCCTCATGACGCCCACAGACAGGGCACTCCTCAGGCCCACAG